TTCTTGAACTGGGGAGCCCAGAACTGGACACAGTACTCCAGGTGGGGTCTCCCCAGGGCAGAGTAGAGCGGGGGGAGAACCTTCCTCGACCTGCTGGCCACACTCCTCTTAATGCACCCAGAAGAGCGCAGCGCTTCGGCCGGGGGAGCTGGCTGGGACCAAACCCGGCAGGCGGCTCGAGCAGTGTCGTGGGGAACCCCGTCGAACTTCTGCAGGGACCCCGTCGAACTTCTGCAGGGACCCCGTCAGCTCCCGTGGCTGCAGATAAGGGAGCACAAGCCCACGTGTCCTGCGTGCTTGGCCCAGCCTGCTCTGCGTAGGCTGGCACGAGCATACGGGGTGAGGCGCCCGCTTGCGGGGGCGCGGGACGCCCCGTGGTGGGCCCAGGGCTGCAGTTATCCCAATTAACGGGGCGCCGATTGAGGCGTGCGGGGGGCTGACTATGCTGGGCGAGGGAAAGGGCTCCCTGGCACTCTCGCTCGCTAGGGGTTAACGAAGATTTGACCCCTTTGAATAAACGCGATGCAAAGCAAACGCAGGCGGTAGGGGAGATGCAGGTGCACGGGCTCCGTCGTACCAGGCCAGACGAACCCTACACTCGAGATGGTTTCCTAGTCACGCAGACTTAAAAAACACTTGGATGCGAATATCGTTAAGCTCTGGGGTAGTCTGGAGCGGCCGTGGGAGAATGTAACCAGTCATTTTTCTAAATAAGAAGCCAAACCTCTGGATCCAGATCCACCTCCTCCCAAAACTCCCAGTCCGATCCCATCTGCATCACGAGCCAGATGTGGCTTGGGCATTACTCCTGCTGCAAATTCAGCTGAAATGAGCACAAGCAGGACTTAAACGGAATAGGAAATATTCACAGCAGATTCGTGCCTAATCAGGATGACACACGGTTTTGCTGACTGCGTTCCTCCGGCCCGAAACGGGACCACTCCGCACCGCGCAGCAGCCCTGATACCTCGCTGCGGTCGGGGCTCCTCACCGAAACAGCACCTGGAGGGGAACGTGCCCGTGTTTATGTAGAAAATACGGCCCACCGGGGCGGAGAAAGAGGCAAAGTGCACCCAAGGCATCCCTACGAGAAGGACCAGTTGACAGGAATGTCTCTCATGGTGCCCTTCCCTCTGTATCAGAAGTGATCTGGCTGAGAAGTCCTGGAGCAAACCACAACTGAGGGTGTTGCTGTCTTCCCCAAATACTTTCTCTAATGAGGTTTTTAAATAGTTTTTGCCCCGCCTACACTGGCAGCCCGAGCACTTTCATCTCCAGGTGAATGGGAACCGAGGTGGGACTCTGCTGGGGAGGATCATTTCCATATTGCAGCCCGGGCGGCGAGGCTGGCAGGCGAAACCCGCGCCGCGGCAGGGAAGCGCTCCTTCTCTCCTCGGAGGTGCCTGCGGATCGTGGCGCAAGGACTAACCGCGTGCTCCGGCGTTTGAAATGCAAAGAGCGCTCCGGCGGCGTGGGTTCGCAGGAGAGGGGGTGCGTTTCGGCTACACCTTTGCGCTGGCGAGAACCGCGCATCAGCCAGCAGGTAGCCGCTGCAAAAAAAATGAGGTTTATTACCAGGCTACAGGACTCAATTTGTTGCAACCTGTACCTACGGTGCTCTGAGTAACCACACACCTTTCGTTCTTAGGTGGCAAAGATCACGCCGAGCCTAGAGGTTTCTTGGTGGGTGTGGAAGTACTTTCCATGTAAATGCATCTCGCCCCCCCCCTTCTCCTCCCCTGGGCTGGCTGCCTGCGGAGCAGCGCTGACGTGCAGCCTTGGCGCCGAGCGCTCGCCCACCCCCTCACACGCAGCCAAAGAGGAGTCCAAAACTCGCCCCGTGCCCCCGCGGGGATGCCAGAGCACGGGCAGCACCGGCCCCACACGGCCGCTTTGTGGGGCTGAGTATGGGACCCGAGAGGTCGGACGGGGCTTTGAGCGCCTCTTTTTTTTCTAAGGGAAAAAAGAATAATTTCATCAGGAAATATTCGCATGGCCTGTATCCCAATAATCTGGGGAAATATAAATGGCCACACAAGCTCATTACGGCTGTCCCGTCTGATTTTATAAACTGTATGTCTCTGTAATGAAAATAAAGTCCCAGCCCTGAAGAGCTGCGAACATCTGCAGCTGCTGCCCAGATGTGGTCGCCCGGAGCCTCTGCAAAGGTTTCAGGGGAAAACCCCCGTCTGCCTCGCACGTAACGCCAAAACAGAGGACAGAGGTTTCGCTTTATAAACCTCGACCAAGGAGACATTAAGTGCCTTTGATCTCCAGATATAAAAATGATCTTTTGATTTAAGATTATGAAAACGAATAACCATCTGCTAAGAAACAGCTACGGACCCACGTTTTATTGAGGCCATATGGTGTCCGGGGCTTCTACGTCTGAATTCAATTAGCTGCTTGTGTCTGCGTCAGTAATTCTGTATCCACCCAGTCATGTTTTTGGAACAAATATTATAATATTCCCATGGATCCTCCAGACAGTGGGAGGTGTTTCCTTCACTGTGAAGGTTTTGGGAAGTGATGACTTTGTCTCATTTTCATCTTACCCTACTCTGCATTTCTAGTGCCTCGCTTCTCAAGGCTCGGAGCTTTCCTCGGGATCTCCGAGCCAGCCGCGGCGCTGAGTAAAGACATCCCCGGCTCCAGCGTGCCCGTCGGGGCTCACGTTTCGGCTTTCCCCATCACCCTCATGGGGAACCTGGCCCGTCCACCGCTCCTACACTGGGACCGCGTTTGCAGTGTTCCCGAGAACATAACCCATTTCTAACCTGAGCCAGAGCCACCCCAGTCTCCTTCCCACCGGGGCTTTACTCGGGGCTCGGCTCTGCTGAGAGCGGGGTGTCACCACCACCGTGCCATCTGGATGGGTGGCATGAAGCAAAGTCATCGGGTGCAGAGGGGTGGGTACGACCAGCGCCTGCCTGGCCACCAGCCCCGGCAGACGGGCACCTTCCCTGCCCGGGAAGCCAGGCCATGCAGAACCCAATTAGCTACTACGATCTTTCAAATCTAAGAATCTGGAAGTCCCTTTTTTTTTTTTTATTTTTATTTTAAAGGTGTGGGCCGGCACCACGCGCTGCACCCAGCAAGATGCGTATTTGCAGTGACTGGCCTCTCTGCAGTGCTGGAAGTGGGAAAAATCCCGTTAGAGGAGCGGGCGGGCAGAAGCCCCGAGAGCAGCGGGTTGTAATTTGGGGCCGCAAGGGCCTCGCTCACAGGCTGTGCCTTCCTCTGCACCCTGCCGACGCATTTGCACAAGAGACAGCCCTGGAAAACGCTCCTGGGCAGAAACCATCCCTAGCGAAGGGATGGCGTTTGTTGTTTTCTCCTGAGTTTTTGCGGCGAGAGACGGGGTTGTCAAGATAAATCGCTATGTACAGACAATACTTCTCGAAGGGTTTTCCTTTCCCCCTCCCCTTTCTGTGCACACACCCGTGCAGCACGGACGTGGCAGGGTTTAGCTCAGGCTAAGAGACGTCAGCTTTTGCAGAGCCCTGCGTTACGCCAGAGCGGCACAGGACAGAGATTATCCACACGAACGCCCGCTCAGGCCGGGGCCGCCTCCTCCCACCAGGACAGG